TACATTCCTAATGGGAACAGATTTTTAAGTGATTTGGAAAATTAGTGCAACCGCTACAACAAATGGTTGAAAAGATAGGACAGAATAATTCATTCATTTTTAAACAGTGTCCCCTTAAATGGCTCATTGGACACAAGGCCATCATTATGGTAACAAATAATTTGTTACAAGCACAGCAAGGGCACCTGGCCAGAACTGGGTCTACCAGCCACCCTTGCTGGCCCAGTCTGTACAGCATCATCTACTGATGCATTCATAAATGCTTTTACATTTGTCAATTAAAAACTATGCCAGAGATTTGCTCACATTCCACCTTCTACTTTAAGTCATATTTCCTTCATCTAAAATATTGTCAGATATTTTCAGTCATGAATAAGAGTAAACGCAGGTAAATTGGATCTGTAGAAGATACAGAAGGAATAAAAAAATCTGAAAATTATCATTACAGACTATTCTCACTGAAAAGACATACTAGAATATGTGGAATGTTTAGAAGATTGGCAATTGGTAACACGTGTATTTTTAAATCTTTATACCTTGCAACATTTCTTTTCTTATATAACCTTACTTAAATCTCCCAGTGGGTATTACTTTCATTTCTCAGACTAGGAATTTGAGGCACAGAGAAATTAAGTCACATTTATAAAACAAATAAATGAACTGAGACACTTGAATTTAGGTCTTCTGACTCCATATCTTGCCTTTTGCTTGCCAAACAACTAATTATAGGCTAATCTAAAAGGATGTTTAGAAACTTTTATTATATAAATATTGATTGATGATATATTTGGTTAAAAAGAAAGTATAGAATATATGCCCCAGCTATTTTTTTTTTTTTTTTTTTTTTGGTTATGAATATTTGTGAGATACAAAGCTGGTTGTCACTCTTGGTGCCCAAGATGTGAAGGCCAGATTCATATTGGCAGCATGCCCATTACTAAAAATTGCGATTGTACCCTGTGTCCCCCACCCAATTATCCCCAGCCTCCCTCCACCTCCCTTTCCCCCACTGACTCCACTTTGTATCCCAAAGTATGTTCTCTCCATTTGCAAGTCCAATGCACTATTGTGGTCTTTCTTTCCTTCCTTCTTTCTCTATTAGCTCCCAGCTTTAATTTAATATTTAGAAAATCAGAACGTTTAATAGATGAGTCGGCTAACTACTATATTTGCTTTTCAGATTTTTTTAAATGGTTCAAAATTGTTAGAAACAGTGAAGTTTTATGTATTTGTATATGTGTGTAGGAAAAGCATATAAGCAACAAAGAGATCCAGATTTTTAACAGATTTTACAAATAAATACTCTATTAGTATTTACATATAAGCTTATACATATATCCCTATATTTTGGGTAAGTATCTAGCCATGTAATTTAAATATGATAAAACATTTCTGTTCTGCAGAAATCTTCATCTAATAGATGCAGTGGTAACTAATCCCAATCTGATACCTGTTTACCATTAACAAAAGGGATCAAAACTGTTTTAAAAGATAATTAGAAATATATAAGCATTTTTTAATGATTAAGAAGAAATTTTTTAAAAGAAAAAAACTGTGCTTATATTACAGGTAAATCTCTAGTATGTCACTATCCTGCAAAATAATAGCAGTGTGTAAAGAAGGCATTCACTATTAATATTCCAATTTCCTTTTGTGACTTCAAATATCTGCCTTCAGAAACCACAAATTGAATTTCCCAAGCAAAACTAAATGCAGTCTCTTAGCAAAAATCTGCTGGAATTCTCATTTAATGCAATGTTTAATGGACTTGTGATAAGAAACACTTATATAGACTACTTCCTCTCTAACAGATTACTTGGGATACCTGAAAAAAACCTCAAGTGAAGTATGCAAATTAGAATTTGTAGAATACATTAATGCAATCATTTTTCTGGCAATTTTACAAATCTGCACATATTTTCCTTTTACATCAAAAAAGAAATTCTAAATAGAAGGGAATGGCATTGTGGATAAAGTATAAAGGATTCTATTATGCTCAGTATTATGAAAGAGGAATGGCAGGTTTGACTGGTTAAGCACATTTTGCGACTCACATCTTTGACTATTAAATATTCAGATAAACCATTCCTTAGAAATCTTTTGAAGAGCGATTCTCATACCATAATGTAAGATTCGTGACTTTAAAATCTTGTAAAATGGCCATAATTCTCATCTAAATGACTTGCTCTTTGCTTATCTTAAAATAAGTGATAAAATAACTCAGAATCACTATATGGACATTTAATAAGAATATTTAATAAAATCGGTCATGTTTTTCATTTACCTAACAATTAGAAAAAGAATAATCATTGACATTTCTTAAAAATAATATTTACGTGATTGAATGTAGGAAGAGCAATCTCAAAACTACAAACTTTATATCTTGTAAGGTGTGGTCTATTAAAAAGCCATCCATCTTATCTATGTCAGATTTCCCTTTTAAGTCAAATATACATTATGTTAAGTAATAATGGATTAAAAGTAAACCCAATATCTAATTACCACTTTTAACAACGTTAAGTCCAAAAAGTACTGTTGAGATTTGTAAATGCTAAGTTTTAGTCACTTAAAGCATGTTAAGACATAAGCTCCAAAATACTGAAGAATTTTTAGAAGTCAATGTATACATCAAAGCACTGGACTATTTTTGGCATTAGTAAGAATTCAAACTTTTTTTTTCATAAATTATTAATATAATTGTTATGTTGCAGACTTAATGGCACTTAAATATATTTTGTAATATTTAGATTGTCTCAAACTTATTATTTTTTAAATTTCATAATTAGTTCACTACAGTTTCTTCTAAAAATAATCATTCATCACATAGCATACTGATTGTTAATAAGAAACATATGATTTGAGAAAAAAACACAAAATGGACACCAGAAAGGTAGAAGACAATGGATATGCACCCTTCACCATGATCATTAAATGTTTAGAGATCTGTATGTAGACCAGCCTACCTTCACAATTTATGATATTTTCAGTCAATAATAGCCTTATTTTCCTGACTCAACCACTGGTATTTTATTTAACACTAAAAGAGTCCAAGTCACTAAGTCACTCTAGACAATTTTACCCTCTTTAGGCCTTTAAACTTATGTCTCTGCCTTTAGTCTTATTGAAATTATCCCTGTTAAGCACCAGATAATAAATAAAGTTCAAGTAACACTGCATTTAGTAGTTATCTTTATTGCTATCTTAGCACATTATGATAGAAGAGTATTTGGAAACTCTCTTAATTTTGAGATGAAGACTTTATAACAAAATGTGGAAGTTTGGAGTCTGACTTGGAGCCCCTCAAGTAATTTTATCAACATGCTCATTTGATCTTAGTTTAGAAACCACAGAGACAGAAAGTAATCAGTGCTTTGTTGAAAGAGTTTGCAATATAATCCTTGTTTACTCTCAGCTGGTCTGTTGGTTGGTTGGTTGGTTGGTCACTGCCATGGGCTAAATTCGTCCCCCAAAAGTTCAGGTATTGGAACCTTGTTCACCGTTGTAACAGTGTTAAGAGAGTGGGAAATCCCATTATGGTATTTGAAAGGTAGGGCCTTTAAGAGGTGACTAGATTGTGAGGACCGTGCCCTTGTGAACTGATTAATCCATTCATGAAGTAATGGGTGTGGTTCTGACAGCTTTAAAAGGACAGCAAGTGACAGTTAACTCTCTCTTGCTCAGTGCGTTCTTGCCATGTGAAAACCTGGCTATCACAAGAACCTATAGTGGGTTCCCAGCTAGAACAGCACCCTCACCAGATGTGTTCCCTGGACCTTTCCAGCCTCTAAACTGTAAGAAATAAATTTTGTTTCTTTATAAATTACCCCATTTCAAGTATTCTGTTATAAGCAACAGAAATGAATGAATATAGCCACTTGGTCCAACTCTCTGTCTCTCTCTGCAATTTTTAATTTTCTATTCTATTGTTTTTTCTCAATAAACTGTCTCCACCTCCACCCTACCTGCAGACTGAAAACCAATCTAAAATATGGTTCTCACTGTTTGCTGTATATTAGAATCACTGGGCGAGCTCCAAAATCCCAAAGCCTAAGTTACATCTTAGACCCACTAAATCCAAAACTCCACTGTTGGGATGTGGCATCCCTAAGTTTTAGAGCTCCCCAGATGACCGCATTCTGTATCCAGGCTTGAGAATCACTTTTCTTTAAATTATGCCTGAGCCTTGGAGTTATCGTAATGGCTAGATGAAGACCATCCATAAAGAGGCATTTCCTCACTACTTGCTTCCTGTGACATACACAGCCTAATATACAAGCATTCTTGCCATATAATTATGGTTCAAAAGGAATTAATTACTTCTAAAGTACTCCTCCAGCAGACACCCTTTTGATTATCAGGACAGTATATCCTTATTTCACATGATAGTTATTAGATACTGCTGTGGAAATGAACACCCACTCTAACTAGGAATTGCAAACTCTGGCTACTACCAAAAACTACTTGGGGACATTTAAAAAATAAATTCTCCAAAGTGAGCCCTGATCAGGTGAAAATACGCAGCATATTATTTCCTCCTCCCCCACATCCTCCATCTCTTCCTCTCCTGCTCGTCTTCCTTTAATATTAATGACTTTACTCCATCATGGGTATGGCTGCTTTTTAAAATAATTAAACTAAAATAGATCCCTTAAAATTTGGTATCAAATAATTTCTACAAGTGTGGGTAAAATTCGATTGAATGCATACAACATTCCAATTTAATTGAGATATTTTAAGAGTAAATAGGTTTACCTTTATATTCCTTTCTTAGAATAAAAGAATAAAGTGAAAATATATCAGTAATAAGGGTTTAAAACACTATTATCATACAGGCAATTTCTTTTCATACCATATATTACTGCCCCTTCTCCAAATTATTTTCCTCATAATTTCAATATTTTATTTCAATTGAAGATCAAAGTTATTAGTATCATTAATCATAATTTCTACTTACATAATTCTGATTTTATTGGTCTGGGTGTACCTGGTATGCATACACTTTAAAACTTAGGGGATTCAAATGCATAGCACAGACTGAGAAACATTGCCTTAAGCTTTGGATGGAAATCACAGCCAGAGGTAACTTTTCTCTAGGGACAAAAATGGATAAATAAGTAAGTCATTTCTCAATGGTTTTTAATAGATAAATATTGACATCTGCATACAGCTTAGCAGATCCTCTACCATTTTTAAATATGCACAACCTAATTCTGGGTCTCTGCATATCCAACAATGACTTACCCAGATATTCCCATCCTGATGGTAGGGTTTCCAATTTCTCCCCGTGTCACTGTAGAGCATCCGGTATTGGGTCACCCAATCTGAACTGCTATATCTTCCTTGGGTTGCAATTGCACTGATTTGCTTCCGATTACCAAAGTCAACCTGAAGCCATTGATAATGGTCACTGTCCGATGGAGACCATCCCCCAGCACCTGAAAAGAGTGGAGGTAAGAGAGGAAAATGAATATGTAAAGTTGAACAGGGTACAATTGACAATAGATGATTCCTTATATCTTAATTGGCCTTGGCAATGCTATATTTCACAGATATATTATATATTGGGACTTCAAGTGATATTCTTCCAACTGGGTAACATTGATCCTTTAACCTCTTTATGGTATAATTATGTGCTCATTTTCTCCTGAGCAAATGTCTACATAATTCCTCAATTAGACTTTATTAGTACATGTCAAAGTCTAATTGGCTGAGGGTTGATCAATTTGCCATGAACTCATTAGCTAAAATTATGAGGAAAAAATATGTAACTATCTATTTCCTTTTCATTTACGTAAGGGTGTATCTTATAGTAAATTATAAATGAAATAAAAAACAATTATACCCAACTCTAAAATTACTTTGCCTTAAGAAGTTCAGAGTTCAAAGAATATTAGTACTTCTTTAGATGAGGTCTAATCTTACATGAAACCCTTATACTCATGAGAGCTAAAGCAAATAAGAAATCAGGCAATATGTTTACTAACATTTAAGAAATACACAGCAAATGTCTCTTGATAACTGTATTTCCAGGGAAACTAAACTTATTTTGGTAAAATATAATAATTGATTGGCAAATAGTAAGAATGTAGAAACATTTATTAGAAAATAGCACTAATCTAGAACAAAAGAGAAAAGTCTCAATTTATAGTAATATTTAAAATAACGATGGTTGTGCACAAGCTTAGTGCTGTGACACTGTAATATTTTGGGGAGTGAGCTCAGCTACTTAAGGGAGTAAATGACAGAAAATATTTAATGAATTATCCAAAGTATAGTATATATCAAAATATATGCACCACTTTTTAAAGAAGGAATTACAAGGGTGACAGAATAATTTATTCTATGAGGACTCATAATAAAAAACATTTTGTAAAACATCATATATATATATATATATGATGTTTTAATATATATATATATATACACATTCACTTAAAAATGTTTATATGACTTCTTTCTGCTTTCAGCTATGATAGAATAGCTCTCTAAACAATTACAAAACTGACAAAATATACAAGATAATAGTTTTTAAAGATTAGACAACAGCCAGTACAGAATCCTGATCCATAAGACAGGATAAATAAATAAGGTGAGCCCTTCCAGCTTCCTGCTTTCTACCTGGTTCACTTTCTGGGTCATGTCACATGGAAAAGGATTCCTAAACAGAGTAGAACAGAGTTGCTGAGATAAAGATAGATCAGAATTGGAATGTGAGGACAGAGTCCCGGAGAGGGGGAGCTGTGTAAATGAAGAGCTCCAGAAATCTGCGTGATGATCACCACTGCGTCTCCAGAGTCTAGACTCTGGATCGACACTGCTGTGTATTTGCAAGTCAAGACTTCACAAGACCAGGAAAAGTGAGTTTCTGAAATGAACACCAGCCAGAAGTTGCACAAGGCTGGGAGAAATTTGATTTCAGACTAGACACGATTTAGAGATCTTCTTAAACCACCCCAGGTACTCACTAGACTTCCTAGAAGTAGGGATAATTGTATTAGAACTAGGGATAATTTAGTTTTAAAATAAGGACTACTCTGGACATACCTGAACAAAGGTTACTGAAAAAGATCTATCTGACCCACATATAAATTATTTCTTCTTCAAACAAAACTCAACACTTTATTAAGGAGGGCCATGAAAGTTTAGGAACTGAACAACATTGCATCCAAATGCCCAGTATAAAATAAAATAAAAATTACTAGACAATTGAAGAAGCATATTGAAGAAATTATGGCTCATAACCAGAGAAAAACCAATCAATAGAAATGGACCCCAAAATAACAGAGATGATAAAATTATCAGACCCGGACTTTAAAACAGTGATTAAAATTAGTTCCATTACTTAAAAGAAAACATGTAAATATTGAAAAAAATACAAAATCTTAATTAAAAAAAAAACAACAATAAAAGAGAAAAGATGGGAATTTTAGAACTAAAAATTTACCAGATGGGCTTAACGGCAGATTAGACACTGAAAGGAAAACATCAGTGTACTGGAATATAGGGCCATGTAAGCCATCCAAATTGAAGCTCAGAGAGGAAAAAAGGCTTAAAAAATGACCAGTACTCCAGTGACCTGTGGGACAATATTAAGTACCTAACATTCATGCAAATGGAGTACTAAAAGCATTGAGCTAGAGGTTGGGGCAGAAACAAAGACACTTAAAAGATAATGGTTGAAAAATATAAACCCAGAATCTGAGTAGCTCATTGTATTCCAAGCAGGATAAACACAAAGAAAAACACACCAAGACACTTTGTAATCATTTGCTAGAAAACAATGCTAAACAGAACATCTTAAAAGTAGTCAGAGGGTAATAACTTCTCAGAAGAAGCAATGCAAGCCAAAGATGATGGAACATCATATCTGACATGATGAAAAGGACAGAAAAAGAAAGCTGTCAACCCAGAATTCTACACCCAGAAAAAAATATCCTTTAAAAATGAAAGCAACAAAACAATATTTACGACAAAAGTTGAGAGAATTCATCAGTGATAGGTGTGTACTACAAGAAATGTAAATTTTTAAGCTTCTGGGAAATTTTTCTATACTGAAACACACATTTTAATGAAGAAATGCATGCTGAAAATGGTAAACATGTCAATAAATATAAAATATTTGTTCATATTTTGAAATTTCTTTAAAGGATAATTGAGTGTTTAGAACAAAAATAGTGATGATTAATTAGAAGGTTTATAACAGATGTAGAAGTAAAATGTGTGACAACAGTAACAAAGAATAGAAGGTAGGACTAAAATATACTGTACTGAGTTCTTCACATTATATATGAAGTAATACTTGAAAGTAGCAAACCCTGGGCCGAGCCCGTGGCGCACTCGGGAGAGTGCAGCGCTGGGAGCACAGCAGCGCTCCCGCCGCGGGTTCTGATCCTATATAGGGATGACCGGTGCGCTCACAGCACTCAGCCAGCGGTGCGGCCGGTCTCAAAAAGGACAAAAAAAAAAAAGAAAGTAGCAAACCCAAAAGTAAAAGGCAGAAAACTTTTTCTGTAAAAATGTAAATACTAAATATTTTAGGCTTTGCAGGCCCTGCTTTCTCTAGTATAACTACTATATTCTGTTACTGTAGTATGAAGCAGCCATGGACAATCCATAAACAAAAGAGTGTAGCTGTGTTCTAATAAAACTTTATTAATAAAAACTGGTGGCTGAACAAATGGCTGTCAACTTCTAAAAGTAAAAATTTAAGATCATACTTCCAAAAGTAAAAAATTACAAATCTGTACATTTTACTATAGCTAATGTATACCTCAAAACATTTAGAAAATATTTATGTATCTAGCATGTGAGTGCATATGCCATATGTTCTATAGAATGTGTGTGTAAACTACATAATAACTACTTTCTCAGTCTCCAGTCTGACATCTTCAATCCACACTTTTGCAAGAATGGTTTTTCTAAAATGGAAATCTTATATTTAATTCCTACTCAATACCTTTCAATTGATTTCCACTGCCTCTAGAAACAAATCACTCACACCTCCACACACAAAAGACACATCTGGATTACAGCCTGTACACACACACACATCCTTCCCCAACTTGGCATGGTACATTTTTACTTCTCCTTCAAGCATCTGTGTATTCATTTCAAATATCACTTCCTCTAGTGGATGCTGTGAGGTGGCATTCAGGTCTGTCTTTATGACTGGAGGACTTATTCAGTCAACTACTGGGAGTACTGCAAGCAGACAGTACTTAGATGTAATTCCTCCTCAGGAACTTTCTGGGTTAAAAAAAAGACACTTTATTCGAGTTTATGCCCCATCCTGGAGTTGTGAAACACAGTAACTGATAGACCTGGGGCTACAAAGGGGGTACCCTGCCCCAATTTGTGGATACCCTGAGTGACTTCGCAGTCTCAGAGCTCCCTGCAAAATTGGATGAAGCCTTCATTAAGACTTCATTCTACTTAAACTTCTCCCTCTGACTATTTTTTGCTTTATTCGTTTCTTTTCCACAGGTTTTATCCCCAAAGCACTCCCTAATTTACTTCCTATTCCTCATCTCAGAATTTGTATCCTGGGCAATCCAGTCTGCAGTACCTCCTTGGGACTACTTTCCTGATAATCTGCTCACTGACAATATGAGTTAGTTGTTTCTGCTTTGTAATTTTTGTGTTATTTGCATGCTGGTTTATTTTTTTCTATTATAGTACCTAATATTTCCTGGAGTCGTATATTATCCATATGCCTATTTTAACTAGAATTCTGTAAAATTTTGGAGGAGCTGTAGATCAATTGTTGGAATAACAATATACTCATCCATTGAGAGACAATATACATAGATAAATGTATATGTATGTATATGTGTATATATATTATTTTTATTTGTTAGACATACAGTTCCAAACCTTGGAGAAATTTTATAGCCAACTACATATAAAATTCTATCTATGTGTTACCAAAAGCAACAGACTGATTTGGTCAACAAAGTCAACAAGCAATTAACACAGCAAGGAAAGAGGCGAAAATAAATCCAATTGATTGTTTGGTGACAGGATATTTCTGTAAGTGTCTTGCTAATGAATACTTCTGAACAAACTTTTTTAAATTAACCGGTTTTTGCTGAATTACCATTTTCCAGTAAGCAGGCAATTAATATACAGCTATTTCATCCCATTTATCTCATTACTTTTAACCAAGCAGAGTTTATTGTTAACTTCAAGGGAAGTAAAAATCAAAAAGCAGAGGAAGTATAAGTTAAAACGTAGTCCTTAGCAGAAGTATATGTGGAGAGCATAGTGACTGTCCTCAAGGGGAGGGCAAATGTCAGGCTTTCATGAGGAACTTGGTGGAAAGATCGATGAAAAGTTTCCTGTTCCTCTTTGATCTATCAAGCGATGTAATTTGGGGAAGTTGATTACTTTGTGCATTTGGCTTGTGAAATGTGTAACCTCTATCGATCCGAAGATT